TCAATCGCAAGGTGGCTATAGAGAGCTGGATTCCTAAGTCTATTGAATGACATATTAACAATGTTTAACCTTTACGATGACCACCACAAACAGCGAGAAAATGAAGCGCGCTATTTTGATGAGACTTGTTTGTAAATACTACGCAGTAGTAGGTAGTATATAGTTGTAAGATGAAGGTCAGCCATGGACCGAAAGACGTGTGTATAAATCCCTTTAATTAATGCTATGAGCCGATATGAGATATATGATGGCGCCAAGTTGTTTTAAAAAACACCATTTCACTGGGTTTGAAAAGGTTTACAACAAGACTTGTCGGCAGGACTAATGACCTCCTGTCACTGATTAATTTTGAATAGCTTTCAACTAACAGGAAATGTTTGACCCGGCTGTTTATAACGTTTGGCACAAAGCGGCTTCGTGTCAAACTTTACTTTCGGTCTAGAACTAGTAATTGTGACCGAGCAAACCCTCATATATTGTAACACCAACGTACCCTCGAAAATTGTTCATGTCGTGCGAAAATTTTTTCTAATAAATAATTTCCCAAAGTTTATTCGTTTCCCTCTTTCTCAGTCTGAAAAGAGGAAATTTGCGACTTCATCGGTTATGACTAATTAAGGATGCAAATATTGAGGGAGTGCCGTATCCCAACATGCAACTCGATACCGGATCCTTTATAAACAAGACCCTCGAAATGACCAGCCTTCTCAGTGTCTCGTGTGCGACAGATACCACTCTACTGCCCAACCGGAAATTTCTCGTATTTTTGTGAGACTTGAAAATCGCCTCAACTCGTAGGAAAGTAGGATGTTGGAAATTACGTGTTTTGCTCTTCTTTCAACTTTAACATCTGCAGTAAGTAACTAACATTCAAATTGATTATGTCTCCAACTGCGCTAGATGGCGGTGAGTTACTTTGCATTACACTCGGCTGGATTTCACTGAAACTATGGGTCTGTGGGCATCTTAGCATCTTAAGTATTTATCAGTATTATATTTTTAGGTGTTTATTCTATCACTTTCTTTGGTATCGCATATAAAAAGTGTATACTTGGTCACATAATTATCCCACAAAACGTTTCATGGTTGCACATTGTGAAATGGGTGATGCATATTTCAGTTGAACGTTCACGTGATAGGGTAGACACCATTCTCAAAAACCCGCCATTGCTTTGTTTGGCAAGAACTGCTCATTTTCAGCAGGTGACGCCGTGGCGCCAGAGGATCCAATTCAATAATATTTTCAATCCATGGTTTTGTCACTAGGGACTATCGCTATTGTGAGCATTCTCAAATCTCTGCTTAGTTTGGTAACTTATGCATCGTTTATTTGAAATGATGATTTTTTTTCTTGATTGACAAGTAATTTCTTTCCCAAGATTATTTCCGAACTTAAACACGAAGGTGTTGAAACCTCGATTCTCGCACAAGGGGCTCTATGGCTCATTACTATATCACTATTTTGAGAGAACGGAAATACATAACAAAAGATTCCTTTCTGTTTGGTTCCTCTCCAAGTCAGTCATAGCAAAAGCTAGCTAGACTTGGATAGTTTTTGTATTTTAGTTTATCCTTGTTTGTTAGATCGATATTTTCTTTCTAATCCACTTGTATCAAGTAAGTTGATAAAATGTCAATCTTTTCCAACTGCTAATTCTTCGTCAGTTCCATTCGTTCAAGTACAACGGACAAGAATCACGGCGTGCCTTAGTAGTTAAAAAATGGGTGACTATCGTTTCTCTTTATTTAATAAATATATAGAAACATCTGAAAACTGATTTATCCGTGAGTGTCGGTGAGTAGACGTGTTTCATCTAAAGGGGCAATTGATAACCATCAATTAGATCAAGGTTAAATAGAAGTCACTATCATCTTGAAAAGTACTCTTGCAACAAACAATCTCGGTCTGCGTTGTCTCAGCCGGTGAAAGACGGTTTTCTTGGACACAAAGCGAATTTCTATGAGCGGTAGACAAAACAATCAAAGAAAATTGCATTACACAAGTTTACAAAAGGTTTCGCAAAGTAGTTATTTCCTTGGGAAAGCCTATAACCGTTTCTGCTGAGCATACTAACAAATTATAAAAATTAATCAACTCTCAAAAAGGGCATACAAGACCGAGTTAACTAAAAAAAAAAACCAATAACGGCTTGCGTGCCAGAAATAAGATTATGAGTAGGCTATAATCGTAGGTGTGTTTATGTCTCCGGCTTACGGTTGAGTGATGAAGGCAAACTACTTGTTCGCTTGATTATTGCTTAAGGTAAATTTTACCGGTAAGTACATTAGACCCCTTAAAATTAAGACAGTAGTTCATAATACGTTAAACTGATACCGTTTTTCATTGATGGGGCGTTTTAATTTGAAAGAGCATCGCTTTTAAAAAAAAAAATTAGATATCACTGATAAAACCCTTATCCAGCAGAGAATGTAAGAAAACCACGACGGCGAGGTCAACGGGAACGTCACTAAACAAAAGGCTTAAAAGCAGCGGACCAATGGCTGCACTCTTTACGTTCTACGTATTTGTAAATTTCTTCGCGTCTTCTGCAAAACATCAACTTGAAATGACCAAACTTTGCGTTGTCTGGTGAACGTGAACGACGACGGCTGATATTTTAAACTTCTGTATCTATTTCGACGTTGTGTACCATAATCAGTTTCGAGATAGTTTTTACAGTGAGAAACAAACTAAATACCCTGAGAGCATCGCGATATTCCTGGGTAAAATATAAGTTCATTTTTAACCGACGTTGTCCACGGCGTCGCCGTCGTCGTTTCTTAGACTCCCTAATGACTTTCCGATACTAATGCCGATATCAAGATCACGCGGCGCAGACAAAACATGTCACCAGAAGTTTTTTTAATCGAGTCCCTTTGTTAATTTTATTTCGTTTTTGTTTGCGTTTGCAAGATAAAATATCGGAATCGTAAGGAAAAAAAAAGATGTTAATCTCTGCAAGGAATTAAATGGTCAACGTTATAGAATCATAAAATCCAGCGTTTGAGGTAATACATCGTTTCTTTGCTTAGAAGTTAACATCAGTCTCAAATTGACAGTTATTTAGGCCACACAAGAATGCGTGGGATGAAAGCTTTAACATGCTTGGCTGATGCAATTTCCTCGTGAGTAGGGCGTCATAATGCTTTGCTGTAGGAACGTATCGACTGCGGACATTTGTTTATTCTATCATTGCTGGCCTCTGTTAGAAATTTGCGTCATTTTGCCGTGTTGTTGTCGGCCAATAGAGTTTTTTAGCACCGCAAATAGACATATGCTTCGTAAGCACATCCCAGAAAAGTTCTAAGTACTCTTGAGATGTGTTTTATGTGTTTTATGTGTTATGTGTTTTTCTTATGCGAGACTACATCACAGACTTCCCGGAAGGACAAATATTGACTCCACTTTGGTGCCAAGCTGTTGGCTTATCTGAATCTTGTAAAGTGACACTTCAATAATATACGATTAGGGGTTTGATTACAGCCGATAAAAGCCTCAGTCGGATTATCTTTTTCAAACTCTCATGCACTTCGCACTTCAAGGGATTACATAGCACGAATGACATTTCAAAACAAATGTTATTTTACGAGAAAAAAACAGGGTCGTGACTTAGAACTTAACGCTTGGTTACTACTCCGTTGTGGCCGAGTTCTAGCCTACGTGTAGCCGTACCCTCCCCCCCGAACGAAAACCTGACACTAACCTATTCAATGACGTCACTCTAATCTATGCAAAATTATGTAACTTGAAAATACTTCTTCATTGCTAGCCAGAACGGTAATCGAAGTAAACAACGATTCAAGTGAAGTCATTTTCCACTATTTCGGGCAAATTTGCAATTTATTATCCGCGTTCAATTGCATACTTTGTTTTCATGATATAGAAAAAAAATAGGCGATATTTGTTCGATTAGCATCGTGCTTACACGAAACCAGATTTCATTCAACGTCCACGCGGTTTCTGCTTACATTTAAATGTAGACAGTGCCACGGTTGTCTAAAAAAGTTGGATCATTTGCCACAGAATCTCAAGGTTTACAGATTTCTTTAAGAGATAGTTGGGCTGCACGTTTGAAGAAAGAGCGACTCATTTCTCAGTCGATGGGATCGCTGCAAGAAACATGAGATTCGCAGCACCGAAAGTCGAAGGCGGAAAATCCTCTTGGCCCAAGTTCATTGAGATAGTGCACCTGGTCTTCCATGAAAGGTTTAACGGGCGGCACAGTAAATATACTGGACAGTTTCTTTAAGTGAAGAGAGGCGATCGATATCCGGTGCGGCTTGATATATCGAGACATCACAGTCACGATCAGTGTCAGGTTTTCATAGAAGTTCCCTCGCTCCCGTTTCACCTTAACCCTTTAACTCCCAAGATCCCAAGATCCCCACTAGCTGCTACACATTTCCTTGAAAATTAGTTATGAGAACTCGGTGCTAGATCAAGATAGCAACTTTACCTGATAAGTTTGAATATTCTCATAACCTGTTTGTGGAATAATGTATGGATAATCTAGGGAGAAGTTTCATGTTAATCACTTCTGGGAGTTTAAGAGTAAGGGGGAGGGTACAGCTACACGTAGGCTAACCAAGCTCTAATATTACCATCTGAATAGATGTAACAACTTGTTTAAATAAATGCCCCAGACTGTGTCACTTCAACAAAATAATCGAAGCCGTAGTCCGACAAAAATTTTTTTAAGTTTTTAAATTTCGTTACGTTTGTTCTAAGTTGCCGGGGCATTTAGCAAAAATAGAATGTCGAGTTTACAAACAAAATGGCTGAAAATTTACGTGAGAATGCGGCTGGTAGAAGCAAAGCCCAGCACGTCAAAGCAAAGCCCATTATATCTGAAAGCTGATCAAGCATCTCGGTATTGTGCCAGATTGATACTCGTACTATCTATTCATTTATATAATAATTTATCTATTTACCTACTTAATCATTTTCTATTTTATTTAATTATTTATTTATTATTTATTTATTTTTTATTTCTTTTTAGTTCGCAGCCGGTGATTGCCCAGAAAATTATTTTTGGGACGGTAAAAAATGCAGCGTTTGCTCAGGCTGCACCCTTGGGTTTGGTTTGAAAGAACCTTGCACAAAAACCAAAAACACTGAATGTCAACCTTGCATTCCTGGCTATGATTACTCGGACAGCACAGGGATGGAGGAGTGCATAAAGTAAGTTTGGTGTTATGTCACGTTTCTCTTTATAATATTGTACATAACGTTACACTCTAAATCCTGCTTATTAACCTGTCAAACGCTTCATCTATCTTTTCCTTCTTTGTCTCCTGTTCTTACAACACGTTTTTTGATTTCCTTTTCTCTACGTTCGTTTCCTTTAAACTAAACTTATCACGCTATAATGGTTAGAGCACAATTTTACCACGTAGGCGGGTTATTGTTAACAGCTTCTCTCTTTTGAGAACGCGACACGAGGCTAAAAGGATGCAAAGATAGTTTTTCGACAAGCCTTTTGGTAAACTTTTGCAATGAAACCTTCTTAAATTGATTGTTATTCAAAGTAAATTTAGTTCATTTTAGTATTTAAGCTTTCTATCCTAAAGGCACTATTTTCCTTCCTCTATTTAAGGTGTGATACATACTCCAACTGTTTACCTGGACGATCTAAAAAGATAACAAAGTGTACAATATTTTCTGGACACACTTGTGACGGATGTGAAGAAGGATATTATCACCACCAAGATGTTGGCTGTGATAAGTGTTCGCCTAAATGTGATGCTATGACCGAGGACGAAATACAGGCATGCACAACTAAGCATAACCGCGTTTGTGCACCAAAACGAGTTTTGCCTAAAACTCCTCCTATCTTCAGTAAGTTGATTCTCTTCCACTTGCTTCCATACTTAGTAAGACAACTTTGAATGAAGGATTAGAAACTTTTCTCCTTCAGATGACAATCCATTTTTGAAATTTGTGTGCTTAGTTCAGTTCTTTGCAATCTTTGGTACTAACTGAATGGTTTGTTTATTTGGATCTAAGCTTTCATATTTTGTTTATTTTAATTGATTATTGTTCACTTTATTTTTGTTTTTAAGGTAATGACTCAAAAGGAGGTCATCCTAACAACACTACCAATGACAAGGATGACGAGATACCACCAGATGGTCCTAAGCTGGAAGAATCTAAAACAAATCAGCCACGAGAGGAAAATTCAATCTCTGAAAATCTGTGGCCTTGGGTTCTACTCATGGTGATAGTCACGGTACTAGTGGTCATAGGCTTCATAGGGATTTATAAAATAAGAAGTCGAAGAAATCGTCCAGCTCAGCCAGAAGGCGATGTCAATACACATAACACAGAAGAGAACATCGCTTTGCGCGAGCAAACGATTCCGTTGATAACTGAAGGTGGTGTGGATGCTCATGACACGAGGGAAACTTTCTCTTTGGGGCCAAGGCATGAGTTAGGTGAGTTTGTGTTGCCTGTCCTTCTTTTTTTCTTTTTAGAGTCGTTTTGTTAACAACACATAATTTCTTAGGTGCAGATTTTTTTATCTTGGCTGACATGTACTCTACACTATATGTTTCTATATATTTACTACTTAAAGTAGATAGTAAGTAAGCCGTTTTTGTAGGGATAACCTCAGGGATCTCTCTATCATGTACTGTATGATTTTTAAACATATTTGCATTCGAATTAGGTACTATTAAAAGATGTCTCCGTAACCAAGTTACACATTGAAAAGTATTATAGATAACGATGAAAGTTGACATAGAATATCAAAAACTTCGAGTTACTTTCTTCGAACCCGATTTTAAAAGACTGCGGCGAGTCTACTTTTGACAACAGTAATTGATGAAAGTAAAATGCCCACGACTTTCTTAGAGTTTTGATGAAGCAGGTGTAAAATGGTTTTTGAAATAGAGCAGGACCTTTAATCTGCTTTGTTGTTGAATTTTCAGAGCAATTGGATTCAGGTGGGGTGGATGCCCTTGAACCTTCTTCAGAAGATCTCAACAGACAAAAAGGTTTGCTTAAACAGTTCAATACGTACTTTTGTGATATATGTGGTATCTTATGCAAGTTTTCATTGTATATACGCAAATGCAGGAGTTTCTTTCTTTTTGTTGTGTTACAAGCTGTTGTCTCGCATTTCACCAAGTTAACTGTTGTTGTTGTTTTTTTTTATGAACACATATAACCGATGTATATTTTCTTTCTCCAATTTTGTCGTAGTTTTGATTGCTTAGTAACCTAACTTCCTGTGGTCCAAGTCTGTTCGCGGTCGTTCGATTTTATCAATCACTCGTATGATTACAGACCGAATTGGACTCCACTCGGTCCTGTTGGCATTATTAATCACCATAGTTGTTTTATTACTTCCGTTATTATTTTAGCTCTAGGCTTGGATCGCCCGATTAAAGATTTAAGGATTAAAGAAAAGAAGCAAATCAAGAATGACCTGAGTGGCAAAGACATTGAAGGTAGGCAGAAGCTCTTAACCCTTTACCTCTTACGAGTGACACAGAGAGAATTTCTCCTTACAATATCAATACAATATCAAGCATAGAACGGATGAGAATAAAGAAAAATATAAATTTGGAGATTAGTAGTTGATCCAGTACTACATTCTCCAAATTGACATCATAGGAATCGTATGAGAGACAGTAAGGAGAATTACTAATGAGATCTTGGGAGTTTAAGGGTTGACCGATATCCGTGTGTTAAAATTTTGGCATTTGCTTATAAGGAAATCACCATCAATTAAACAAGTTGTCTTTAAATGCAGTGTACAGTGGTGCGTGTAGTTTTCCCTTAAAGTTCTAAACCTGTAACTATCAAGATGTTTCCTTGAAACAGTTTTATACATTGTTCTTAATTTAGGTTATTTTTACTGGCAAAGTATTGCCGAAGAACTTGATCTTAAAGATGAGTCCAGAGGATGGGAAGGAGCGCAAAATCCAATTGAAAACCTTCTCAAGGCATTTGGCGAAAAAGAGGGGAGCACCATCAGAGGACTGGTAGAAGCTACTAGGAGAGCTGGGCTGACGCATTGTGCGAGTCAGTTGGAAAATCAATTTGATACGGCTCCAAGAAATGAGGCTGATTCTGCTATTAATGTGCCTGAGTACACAGGAGAAGAAACTGACGCGAATGATATTGCTGATACAGCTGTATGACCAGCACTCCTGTGTGAAAAAGTAATGTTTTGGTGAATACATAGCCATAACCTTGTTTTCTAAGTAATTCTCTAATCAGCAACTGAATTCCACCTTGCCATGTGTCTGTTCCGTTAGTAACAGGTCACGCTTTAGGTCAAAATGCTGTAACAACAGAATACAATATAAGTAGCTCGAGGATCATTGAGGTATCTATTTTATGTTGAATACTACTTCCTCCATGATTGGCTGTTAAAGACCGTACAGACACGCGGCTGAAGTCTTAGAAAAATGTGTACTTTGTTTTGTCCGCATTGAAGTTCTATTTGCATTTTTTTATCATTTATTTATTTATTTATTTTTATTATTGTGACATTTCTCAGCATTAAGCGGGCGAAGGCTTCTAAAAAGTTAAACAAAACAAATTTACGTCCTTGAGTCTAGATAATGTCGAACGCAGCATGACTTTATCGCCCCTGAAGAGAAGGAAGGGTAAGGTGGGGGGTGGAGTAAGGTGGGGGTGGCGCAAGGTGATCCTTGTGTACTGATTCACTAAAATGTCACCCAAGCCTTCCAGAAATTTGAATCGAATTGATAGATATTATTGCTTTCTTTAAAAAAAAATTCCATCTAAAAAATAATGTGCAAATTTCAAGTTAATTACTGACTGACAAATGCAATTATTTATGCTGCAATTTTAATTTAATAGCCTGGTGACAATTGGAAATTTACGATAATTTATGAAAATTGACGATATTTTTTGAAAATTTTGAGCGACAGCAGCAAAAATGTTGAATACATTACTCCAGACTCCATTTTTGATATTCGAGTAAAATACATTGTTGAATTGTGCGATGAGAAATTAGTGCACAGGTTTTGAATTATTCAATTGTAGGTACATTACATCTGTTTTGTTTTTGTTGAACTTTCTCGTCGTTTTTTATTTTTTCTTTTTCTTTTTGGTTTGTTTTATACCTTATTTTCTGTTAATTTTTTTCATCAAAAGGTGACTAATTCATGAACGAAGCAAACTATCTAATTCCTAATCATTCGTTTTTCTAATCTGAATTTTTTTTTTTGTAACAAACATTCCTCCTTTATATTTGTACTTGGTAGATGTGCGCATTTTGACGAAGTTTCCAAATCATTGTTTTTGTTTAGTGTTTTCAGTATCATTTTTACGAGGAATGTACAGGTTTGTAAATTTTAGAAAATGGTTACGAGTAGATACTTGCAAAAATGTGACCTGCGCATGAAATGATCTGTATTTCATATATTTACACGAGGTAGATCCAATAAATCGAAGAACTTTTCTAATAATTTTTTTTATCCTTGGACCGGCTGAAAAATGAAAGCACGTTATTGTGCACTGATAGTGTTCTAGGTATTTTTCTTCTTTGTACATTTTAGAGAGAAATTTTTAGAAAATGATTTAAATGAAATTGTCCTTAGCTTATTCGTGAATGTTTGGATAACATTTCCTTTGCACAGAACGTTTAGCAACAAGTTGATTCTGTAAGTTAGTGAAACATGATCTATATTTAAATTTGAAAAGACTCAAGTATAGTATCGAGAGAAAATATTTTTTCTTGACGGTATTTAAGAGTTGGCTATCGGTATGTATTTACTAGCTAAGGTTGGTTGTAATTAAAATAACCGATATTGATTTGATTGTAGCTAATTACCCTTAACATAGAGTTAATAAAGATAAATGTTGGTACTGACTTTGGATCATTCAGAGTGCCATAGACAAGATTTCAAGATGACTTCATGAATCAATTTTCGCCCTGCCTCAATTTTCTTCTTTGACTTAAACGGGTCGACACTCTTGAGGGTTGCTATAACTCAAAATTCTGAACAGTTTCCTTAACTTTTTGTGTTCAAATTAATGATCGACTTGATGGAAAAAAACCATAGATTGGAGACATTTAACGGGAAAAATCCGATACGTCGTTTACATCCTGCGGGTTGTTGCTATCGCCCATCGATTGATTATTGAGGCAAAATTGCGACGTTCAGCGAGTTCTCACTAAGGGAAGTGTGTAATCTCTTAAACTGTCTATTTCTCATTCACATTTGCGGGGACACCAGAGTAAAAAAGTAAGTGTAAGACTCGACATAAGCTAAAATCCCTTGCCACCGGGCCATCATAAAGTGGAGTTTCGAAGTTTCATCTTAGGAATGAGGAAACAGTATCTAAAAGATGTATATTTTGGGGTGTAATACCGTGCATAAGAAAGAAATAAAAAGACGAAGAAAGTGAACACAAGAATCAGCAAGTGTAGGGACATTCTATCTTTTAACGAGGCAAGGCGTTATTGTTTTGATCCTATGGTAACTGACCTGTGCTTGCATACCATTGTAAACACAGGAAACCGTTGTTGACATTAGATTTAATCATGCTGAAGGTTACATCATGCGTGAAAAATAGAGTCGATTGTTGAGTCCTTCTAGGATATCATGTTGTAGGAATTTTGAAAGCCTTGAGAAGTGAAAATAGTTATACAAACTTCGTAAATATAAGTGTCACCAGAATAAAAAGAAAGATATAGAACACTCGATCCATTAAGAGCCGCCTTTGATTAGGAAGGCCAATAGATTCTATAAAAGCTAACAAGATCAGGCATTGAGATACCTTTTGATTTCTTTTTGACTGCACGCGACACGAAAATTGAAGCGTGCGTGCATATCTCACAGAACTCGAAAGTCAACAATCAAAAAAGTATAGCGCTGGCATAACAGAAATAAAATCCCAGCCACTTACCTTCAATATTTTAACGATGAATTGTAGATTTTTCCATGAAATTGCTACGCTCTGCCAGAATCTTCAGTTACTGATGCTCATCTTCGAAATGGCATGCATAAAAATTGGTTTCTTCCATTCGCCAGCCACTTCACAGCAATACAATTGAAAATGTGTACCACGCTTCAGGATAGCTTAAAGTCTTTTAAAAATTGAACCGAATGCTTTTCTTAGTAAGTTTGTAACACGTAACTCGGAGCGATAAATTGAGTTCACCATGTGCAAACGAAAACTTTCTTTTGATCACTTACTTGCTTGGTTCCAAAACACTTGACCAAACTGTGCATAATGTACGTTTTCGCTTGTCGATCGCCTAGACCTCAAAAACACTCGAATGCTTCTCTCGGAAGTATTGCACCTCGAACCCTTGAAAGTTTCCTGGATTGGAAACTTCTGTATTTCTTGTAAATAATCAGGCTGTGCAAATTGCTAGCCGTTAAATTTTCATTCAGCTCCGGTCGGCTCAGTTGTAAAGCAATGTGCATGTCAAGTTCTGACGTTTTGGCGGTCGGAAGTATCACTGACTTCCGGTCGTTATCATTCAAGAAGGAATTTGAAAGACAAATCTCATTTATCAACTGGGGAGAGTCGAAAGCTTGTGTCAGACAAAATTTACCTAATCCCCCCATAAGGTTCTATAATATTCTTATTTTCCCACCTAATTGGCAGTTAATTGGCGTTCAGTTTTTTTTCTTTTTAAGCCCTAAGACTGACTAGCATCTAATTTATCCTTACAACATCACCACTGAATTAAACCTTAATGTCATAAGAATAAGGGAAATGACACCAACTAAAGAAACTCTTGATTGTTGGACAAATTATCCTTGTCCTCGCTTTAGTAAATGTACAGACAACAGTATGGAGAATATGAATACTGATGTTAGGGTGTAAAGGGTTAAATAGTCCCTCTATGTACTTTTTTGGCAAGCGACTGACCCACTCTGTTTCCCCTTCCCTGACGATAAAAATGATTTGACTGGTCTATTATGGAAAAATTAGTTAATCACACATGCATGAAGATAATGGTAAAGAGCAAAAGAAGCATGTTTCTTTTTTGCTACTGTCTTTCCGTCACTTGACTTGATAATTGACTCGCTTGTCTTAACGATTTGATTCCTCGAACGAGGAAAGTATCAGAAATGACACCAGTAGAGCCATTTCCGATGGGTAAGCAATCATGATTTACGTTAAGTATTGATTAAGCAATGTCTATGTTATATTAACCAATCAGTTTTTTTGTCTCGTGCCGGTGTTATTGACTCGAAGCATAAAACTAAACATAATCCTGTTTTTAGGATAAGTTCCCACGAATAACTCTATCGTACGAGTGCTTTTTTTTTCCCATGGGCTGATTCGTTTACACGCATTCTTCCTTGAAATCGACTATAAATTAGACCTTTGTATGTACATTGTATATACTTTCCACAATAACACTGGGGAAGGGTGAACAATTTTATCTCCTTTTTGAGTTTACATTGTTTGAATTACAATTTCAATTCTTCATTCTGTGCAGTTTCTATACATCAAGGTGTTCGATTCCGAACCAGACTACTCAACAACTACAGCAAAATTTCCTTTTAAAAAATACATTTTACATTGACCTTAACGTTTCAACAAGGCTAAGAAATATTCACAAATGTTTTTGAAAAAATATCCTTTCCAACTACTACCTACGGATCGATAAAATGTTTTGACTACCTAAAAGTTACTTTGCAATCGTCAATAACAGTTTAAGTAAGACATGGAAATCAATCGGCTGATGGAAATTTGGTACGTTGCTGGACTGGACGCGCAGTTATAAGGCTTCCACGACCCACTGTCCTGTTCAAACACAGAGTAATCAGCACAATTAGTTACGTTTCTCCTACCCAGAGGCAGAGAAAATCAATTTGTAGAGAGGATGTTTGTATCAGTTTTGAGAACACTTTGATAAAGCCCCTTCAATGTAGAGATTGTCCTATAATGGTTTTCTTTCCTTTCATTTCAACTTGACGAGAGAAGGATGGTTTCTCTCTATTCTCCTTTTATTCAAGGAACTAGGTCATAATTAATTCTCATAGTACTTGTGAGACCTTAGGTGTATTTTCTCGCATTTTTTCCTCCGAGGTTTACATATATTTTGTACTTCAGAGTGACCGCACCGGGTTCAATCAAGCTGAGGAAGTTATAGGCATTGTTTACTTGCAGAAGTATGAACACTTCCAAACATAGTTAGAACAAAAAATGCCTAATAAAGCCTCGGGTTATGGGTTGATTTTACACCAAAATCATACAGCTTAAGTAAATAAAAATATAGCACAACTTTTTTTTGTCTCTTAATCACGATCGACAACCGATTGCATTTGCATTTCAACTTTAACATATTCATTTAGTGTCGTGAGAAAGTTGCAAAAACAGCCAGTGGACTGAAGACTTCGCTCAAGATATCACACAATCTGAACTTCTTAAAGTTGCACTTCGTCTAGAGTTTTATATCTGGTATTGTTGCTTTCCTATGATTAACAAGTCCACTTCCTTCCGGTTTTTAAAGATGATGTTTAAAAATAGCAACAACAAAAAAAATGCGTTTTTAGATGTCACAAGGTTGCATTCCGAGCGAGGTCATGGTGGATGAATCATCAAATTTAGCAATTTTCAAGAGATTGAGGAAATCTGCTTGATAGTTATCAAAAGAGAAGAAGGAGAAAAAATCTCTTCAAACTTTCAGGCTTACTTACCGAATTCCCCCTCCTCATTGACTTCTGATACCAAAACAGCAACCACGAAAATGGTGCTAGCAAATTGAGTAGTTGTTATCATGACAATTATAATTAACAAATTACTTGTAGGCATCTTTACCGGACGGAATCTCCTGGAAAGGTAAAACAACTTTAAAAGAAATAAATCTGACGGTGGTTTCTCTTTAGAGATTCATTCAAAATATTTCTTTTTGCATTCTATACACTATAGATTACAATACCTTGCATAGTGATCCATTAACTAGTTGAAATTAGCTAAATGTACATTCTTCAAGTTGCTTACCTATACCGGCTGCGAAAGACAGCACCACTTGTTCTTTGTAATCGCGGGGATAAAAGTAATAAAATAACTTCGGCTTACAGTCGTCACTCGATTCTCGACGGTAATCCCGAAATAATTTCAACCAGTTGAGTCTATCGCTGTCTTCTTGAATTCCAAGAGAAGTTAATTTTGAGAAATTTAGATGTAAACCCTTTGCTAACCGAAATAAACGGTAGAAAAGCGGTTATTAGTAAGAAATACGTTACATAGCGCAGCCGACTGTCTGCACAGATCTCCGTCACGCATGTATGACATGTAATTTTTTTAGGGTCAAATTGAAGGTTGTATAATTTCTCTAATTTATTTATTTTTAAACTTTGGTGTAAATGCCTCATCAGGTTAATTGACTTGACTGTAAATTATACCGCTATCTGACAAAAGTTTGAACGGGCTTCAGAAAGATATAATAGAGCAAGACAAATGGTATTAAATGTGGAATTCATCCAACATTTAGCATTCTAGTTTGTATTATTTTGTATTAAGCGCTTGGAAAAGTATAAGCTCTGTGAAAAGTAAAGTTTACAGACTTCTGTTGCCTCTTAATCACGATAACGAAAAAAGTTAGGAAAATTAGGAAGTTCAATCAGTACTACACATAAAACTTTATCCATTCTAGAACTTTCCAGACGACACGGTCTCATAATAACCCTTTGACAGGAGCCTTTATGTTTTCATTGTGGTCGGGAAAACAAACCTCGGGATACTTAAACTCATGTTTCAAATTCAACAAGAACAGGTAAACAGAGAGACTGCTTCACATTGTATTTGATAATGCGTAAAACTCAGAGACCCTCAACATGTATACGTTCCTCATGATTTGGTCAATTTTGCTAGTGAGAGCTGCAATATCGGTATGTTTCTGATGTTTTGAATTGCTATCTCTTCTACTCATGTTTGCAAAACGTGTTCATTTTCTTTGGCGGGGTATCAATAGCACCACCGCCATTTCGCCACCCGTTCTAGTTGACTCCTAAGATTCAGTGAAAAATTCTCCCCTCAAAATCCCTTAT